TCAACTGTCATTAACTATCACCCTTATTTTACAGACGAAAAGCATGAATCCCAGCAAAGCAAAGCAAATTTATCCACGTTCACCCAACTGGTGGGCCAGGTTTGTTCCAACTGCAAATGCCCTGCTTTTAGCCACGTCTTAATGCTGCAACTAGCTAAATTTCACTGTGGGCAAAGCAGGTCATTGCAAACCTCACCAAAAAACTTTTTTCATGACTAGCCCAAAGGGAAAAATTGTGCAAAGTCACCACAAGTCCTATAATTAACAATTGGAGAACTAGGAATTATCATTTTCACATGTAATTCCCTTCTCATTCGAGCATAAAAGTGTCAGAACTTTGTGCCAGGGAAATAGGTTAATAATCAACACTGCTAATGAAGGACACTCATAAATCATACAGGCTCCTCAATGGACATCAAAGTGCAGATATTCAAACAGGCAAAGCCCATGCACTTTGAAAGAGACCTCCTCACTGGGTCTTCCTTCCCTGGTTTGCAAAACAGGAGATGGGTCTGGTCATCAAGAGGCCCTTAGTGCTGGAAGCCTATGTTTCTAGGAGACGAATCCATGCACCTTTTCACAGAGATACTCATATTCAGTCTAGGATCAAGAGACAGAAGGCAAGGAGAGGGGTGGTGGGAGGTTAAGGCTTCAATGCACCTGGTTGGCCCAGAGGTTCCAGGGTCAATGCATTCAGTCTTACGCTGATGTTGTCAGAACGAAAGAGCCAGGCTGGGTACCCAGACCCAGGCACTTAGGGGCTTCCAGAGAGTAACTCTAAATTTCTGCAGCAGATAAAGGCTGAAGAGCAATTGGAGTGTTGACTGTGGAGGGAATTAGGTTACTGGTGAGCATGAGCGCCCCCTATGGTTCAAGCGGACAGAAAAGGTAACACATAAGTTGCAGATGCAGAGATGAGCAGTGCTCAAAACATCTGGAAAGGGTCTTTCTTCCGTGGATGGGCTAAGTCCTTATGTTGTGCTTCCAGGACACGCCTATTCACCTCCCCCACCAGTAGCAGTGGTTTTGTGCATGGACCTGACTTTGTCATTCCCTGACCTTCACCAGCTGCCCACTGCTAGATAAGAATATCTAGCTCCTAACTGGATTTCAGAAACCTCCTTGTTCTGACCCACCACAGCCTCATATCTCACCCCAAGATATACTACACTACTTCTAGTGACCCCACCAACCACACTTCCTGCCTTCCTGCTCTCTATTTCTGTGTTCATTAGTGACCTGGCCCCCTACAGACGCTTCATTATGTCTACTATTATCTGAGTGTCTGCCCTCCCCATAGACTGGTAGCCTCCCAAGGCACAAAGTGTTGGATTTCTCCCTAGATCTCAGTTTCCCCAGCCTGGGCCTATATCAACCAAGTACCCAGGGCCTGTCTGCAAAGTCAACTGATAGATGGATCAGCAAACACAAGTTGTAGCAATGACAGCTGCCTTCCCAGTTTCCACATTCGGGGATTAAGCATGAGAGGCAGTCCCCAGATCTCTCCCCTTGAAATAACAATAAGCTGAACATCTAAAACTCAACAAAAAACACCCAAACTGCACACCAGCATGTCTGAGTATGGGATCTGAGCATAAGAGCTACCACAAGTCAGAACCTCGGGTATTGGGCAGTGGACTGAGAGAAACAAAGAAGCTGCCTCTCACAGCCGGAGCTCCCTGTAGGAGAAGGGGGAGGGGAGAAAGTGCGGCACGACTTCCCTGAACAGCCCTGCCTGAAAGTGCTTGTGAGCTCCACGTGGCCGGCAGCAGTGCCCAATCATCAGGGCAGAAGGCAGAGAAACAGGGACGGCAGAAAAGTGGGGATGGCAGAGAAACAACAGTTGATTTTTACCAGCTGTGGTTACAAAACTGAGGCTGAGCCGCAGTCTCAACTCCCAACCCAGAGGATCCCTCCCCCCATACCCTCAGAGATGGAACACCGCGGAGCCCCAAAGGAATCTGAGCAAATGCTACTGAAACTGTCACTAACACTGACAGAAACTGAGACTGAGGGTAGCGAGCATGATTAAACATCTATAAGGAAAAAAAGACATTATCAACACTTTATATAAAGCAGAGATCCAAGAGGCTTAGACACCACCTACTAGAAACCAAAAGAAAAACACCTTATTTGCAACAGGCTAGAGACCATTATATAATAAATCTTTCTGGAAAAAAACAGAAAAAAAAGCAGAACACACTTTCATTAATGCCCAGGCAGAGAAATAGTTCATTAAACGCCATGAACAACCAAGTGACAAGGCAGCTCAGAAAGAAAGAGAAGAATCTCCATAAAATAAGCTTACAGACATAGAAATATGCAACTTAAATGATAGAGAATTCAGGATGGCACTTCTGAAAAAATTCAGTGAGATCCGAGATGAATCATATCAACAATTTCAAGAACTGAAAAAACAACTAGATGAGCAGAATGAGTTCTTTAGCAAGGAGATTGAAATACTCAAAAAGAATGAAATAGAGTTTCTGTAGAAAAAGAGCACACTGCAAGAGCTGAAAAATGAAATAACAAGCTTGGGAAACAGAGTCGACCAAATGGAGGAAAGAATCAGTGATATGAAGACAGAAATCTAGAAATAAATCAGAAAGAAGAGAGAAAACGAAGAATGAAAAATAATAGAGAAATACAAAAACTAGTTGATACTATTAGGAGAGGAAACATAAGAATAATGGGAATTCTCGAAGGGGAGGAAAAGGAGCAGGAATTAGAAAGCATTTTCAGACAAGTAGTTGACGAGAATTTCCCAAATCTAAGGAATGAGCTGGAGCTTGGAATTCAAGAAATCAATAGAACACTCAATTATTGCAACCCAAAAGGCCTTCACCAAGACACATCGTATTAAAATTATCAAAAATCAACAAAAAGACAGAATTCTCAGGGCAGCCAGGGAAAAGAAGATGGTAACCTATAAAGGAAAACCCATTAGATTATTGTCGGACTTCTCGGCACAAACCTTACAAGCCAGAAAGGAGTGGAATCAAATATTTAAAGTATTAAATGAAAGGAACTACCAGCCAAGAAGAATGTATCCAGCTTAGCTCTCCTTTAGTTATGAAGGAGGAATAAAGACCTTTCCAGACATACAAAAATTGAGGGAATTCTCCAGTTTCTACACTCCTCTCTTTCTTAGAAAGAGCCCCAAATTTTTAGGGTAGTAAATAGCCCAGCTAAAATAATTCCCAGCCTCTCCTGCAGCTAGGTGTGACCAATAGATTAAGTTCTAACCAGTGAGGCAAAGGTGGAAACTGTTGTTTTAAACTTCTGACAAGGCTACTATAGGAAACTAACTCAGCTGAGAGGTGAGCTCTTTCCCCTTTTGGCTATGTGAAATGCAGATGAAATGGCTGGAGCTCCAGTACCCATTTTAGACCATGAGGCGATGTTGAAGATGATGAAGTGAAAAGACAGAAACCTGGGTCCCTGATGACTATGGAGCTGCCACACTAGCCCTATGTGAGACCTCTTGTGTGAAAGAAAAATAAACTCTCTATTAAGCCATGGTTATTTTGGTTTTGTTACCTGATCTTAACTGATATAAAGGCAGAAGAAAGATAAAAGAAGAGACCCATATTCTTCTTCTTTAATTTGTCCAGTCAGGAAGCCACCTTGACTTGGGACATGCCCACCTTATATTTACCCTTACTCTCATTTTGAGATCATGAGCTCAGCTGTTGGCTTCCAAAGCTCCAGCCAAACACCCAAATAATCAGATCGTCCAGTCATTTGGAACAAGCACACAGGAAGGGCCCTGAAGAATCTCTCCCAAGGGTCCTGGTGAAATGCTCTACCTCATTGAAGGCAGCGGCAAGGCTTTCTCAAGAATGATTGCTGCCATCTTAGGAATTTCAATTTTCTTGAACTCTGCTCTCTTGAGTCCTCTCACTTTATCCAGTGCCCCGATCAGTGAGGGGATCTTGACATATATATGTATATACACAATGGAATATTATTCAGCCATAAAAAGAAGGAAATCCTGCTATTTGCAACAACATGGATGAACTTCAAGGTCATTATGCTAAGTGAAATAAGTCGGACAAAGAAAGAAATAGTGTATGATCTCACTTATAAGTGGAATATAAAGCAAACAAACAAAAGACTCATAGATACAGAGCACAGATTGGTGGTTGCAAAGGGGAAGAGTGGTGGGAAGGTGAAGTAGGTGAAGGTGGTCTAAAGGTACAAATTTCCAGTTATAAAACAAATAAGTCCTGGGGATGCAGAGCGACAATAGTCACTAATACTGTGCTGTGTATTTTTAAGTTGCTAAGAGAGTAGATTTTTTTCTAAGAAAAAAAATTGTAACTATGTGTGGTGATGAATGTTAACTAGACTTACTGTGGTGACGACCATTTCCCGATACATCCAAATATTGAATCATTATGTTATACACCTGACATTAATACAATGTTATATGTCAATTATACCTCAATAAAAAACAAAAACAAAAAACCCTTATTTGTTGTCTGCTCTGTATCAGGCACTATGCTCAGGGATAGAGGTTCAGAAATGAAAGATTCTAATGTTATTGAGCTTGCTTCTAACAAGTGAGCGCTATCCTAGAGGTTGAGGCTGGGTGTCAGGGAAATGTAAGCATTGACTGGCCCAGCCTGGGAGGCTGGGGGAGAGACCCTCCCCTGATGGAGAAGCCAACTTACTCTCTCTGGGCCTCCTGAGAAATTAAATTAGCCAAAGTCACTGAGTTGCTGTCAAACCTGGATTCAACTCAGAGGTTGGTGTCAAAGCTGAGGCAGTGTGCTCTGACTTCAACTGCTGTCGTTGCTTCCCACCACAGGGGTACTTGGACGCTCGATGGTGATCTGGCAACAGGCAGGGGTCCAAAGCTGACCCAGGTCTCCAAGGCCCCAGAATCTGCACCACACACCAGGGCCGTTGTCCCTAGTCCAGGGTTTTGAAGAGACCCTCCAAGGTAACTCTAAGTTCACCAGAATCCCCATCTCTGTCCTGACCCCTGCAGAAAACACTTCATCCCCATGATGTCAGGAATCACTGTCTGCCATCAGGGAGGCTCTGCTCCTTCTAAATACTTTCTAATTTCAGTTCAAAAATCACAGGGAGAGATCGCTGTTTTAAAGCTATTCTGAGCAGTCAGAGTTTTAACCAAATTTGCCAGAACAAATGAATAATTCACATCAGTGAAGAGGTTGGAGGGCAGAGGCCCCAGGCTCACCTTTAGGGGTAGGTAGGCAGCAATGGTGATCCGGGCACTCAAGTGGATGTGGCCATGTTTATAGCTCACAAGGAGCGCGGTGTACCCCTGGGCCTCGGCTCTTACCCTGACACCGCTGCAGTGCTCAGACCCCGGCTGCAGCCTCCCTGCAATAAGAGGAAAGTCAAATAGTCACAGTGAACGTGCCTCTGTCAGAAAGACATGATAGGCTGACAGTCTCTCTTTCATCCTGGGCTTGCTTCAATCTAATTTTTGAATTTAACATTTTTAAGTATACTTCCCATACCAAAAAAAATATACTTGTCATAAGCATACAATTCACAATGATTTTTTCCCCCCACAAACTTAGTATATCCTATACTTAGGACTGGGATCAAGAAACAATTTGACCTGTACACTGGACTATTCCACAGACCTTCCAGTCACTAGCAACTCCCCAAAGGAAAAACCACTGTTAGCTACTTTCTAACAGCACAGCACAATTTTGCTGGCTTCTGTCTTTTAAATAAAGAAGAGGTCCACAACCCCTGGGCCGCAGACCAGTACCAGCCTGTGGCCTGTTAGGAACTGGGCGGCACAGCAGGAAGTGAGCGGCAGGAGAGCGACTGAAGCTTCATCTGTATTTGCAGCTGCTTCCCAGCGCTAGCATCACCATCTCAGCTTCACCTCAGAGCATCAGGCATTAGATTCTCATAGGAGCACCAGTCCCTGGTGCTAAAAAGGTTGGAGACTGCTGATATAAAGAGAATCATTGAACATCAACTCCTTTGTGTCTGCCCTCTTCAACTCAGTGTTGGTAGTAAGATTCCTCTTTATTTTTTGCAAGTTGTAGTTTGTTTATCCACATTTATAAGTCATTCTGTTGTGTGAAGAAACCACAATTCATTTTTCCATGCTACTAAGAAGATCTGGTTTATTCTCAGTGCAGGACGATGATACACAGTGCTACCATGAACATTTCTTTCAGTGCACATTAATTTTGGTGGACATGTTTTGGCCTTTCTGTTCAGTGTGTCCTTAAGAGTGCCCTGTGTGCACCCCTAGTCCTTATTGCCTAGGAGCATGCCTACATTCAGCTTTTGTCATTACTGCCAAATATATTTCCCAAAATGGTTATATCAAGTTATACTGCTACTAGCACCTGCACTACATTCCTGCCATACTTGGTATTTTCCATTTTTTAAAAAAAAGCCATTCTAGTGGAAGTGTAGTGGAATTTTACTGTTTTCTTTCCAAAAATTTAGAAAAATTACACTTTGAAACCCTACATTCCCATTTCCTAGATTCTATAATTGACATTTTGCTCTTTCTCTTACTGTATTATCTATCCATCCATCCCCTATCCATCCATCAATTGATCTTATTTTTTTATGCATCTAAAAGTAAGTTGCAGGCATCAGTACACTTCATTCTAAATACTTTAGCAAAAACATAATTATCTATAGTTCAATATTTATTTATGGTATGTTTTTTCTTAAGATCAAATTTACACATAACAAAATGCACAGATCTTAAGCGGACCACACCACAAATCCTGACAAACACAGCCACCCATGAAACACCAACCTCATCATGATGCAGAACACACCCACCACCACAGGTTCCACACGGTTTTCCTAGGCAATCTCCAAGCACACTTTCCCTGGAGGCCATTGCTATGTTGTTCTGATTTTTTCTACCATAGTTTAGTTTTTTAAAAAATAAGTTTTACTGAAATATAACTCACATATTGCAGAATTGTCCATTTAAAGTATACACAATTCAGTGTTTTTTAACATATTCACAGAGTTGTGCAACTATCACCACTAATTTTAGAACATCTCATCCCCCAGAAAGAATCCCCACATCCATGACCAGTTACTCTCCTTCCCCCAGCCCCCATCCCTGCAGCCACTGCTCTGCTTTCGGTCTCAACACAGATTAGTTTTGTCTTACACTACACATCGGTGAACTGTGCTCTTTGTGTCTGTGTCATCTCATGCAGCATGTTTTTGAAACTCAGCCATGCTGTTACATGATCAATGATCGCTTCCTTTAGATTAATGAGAAGTATTCCAATTCCACTGCAAGGGTGTTCCACAGTTTGCTTATCCATTTACCAGTTGATGGGTATTTGGGTTGTTTCCAGTTTGGGATAATTAGGAATAAAGCTGCTGTGGACATTCATGAACAATCTTCTCCATACTCTTTTTACTTTTACTTTCACTTAGGACATTTCAGTGCATGCTGTTTTGTCAATGGCCACCATCATGACCCTATGCTGACAAGAAGGGTGAGCCACAGAGTCCACAAGCAGAGCTCAGGAGCTCCTGAAAACAGCAACTTTGCCAAATGGGCCTATCTGTGTCCACAATTACACAAAAAGAATAGGGAAATGACTGGTTTGAGTGTGGACCCTGCTTGGGACCCTCTTCCAGTTGGGTACACAGAGTCTGGCAAATGCTTATCTGGACATGACCCCGAATTATGAGACAGGAGTCAGGCCCTTTGTAGAGCTGGGAAGAGGTGCTGAAGAACGAAGCCCTGAGGGACACACTCTGGCTCCGATAGCATGGCAAAGAAGCTTCCTGAAGCACGCCGCCATCCTCCTCCACCCCAGCCTCCCTGGTGTGAAGACTTTCAGCACTCTCTGCGCATCATCAGGCCCCTGTCCTGGCGAGGGGAGGCCCGTCTATTCTGACCTGGCTGGAATCTGAAGCACACCACACCCTTTCTTATCTCCAGGCTCCCACGTACTCTTCCTGCTCCTCGGAATACTCTTCCCCCATTTTCTCCTAGTCTCGTCCTTCAAGTCTCAATTATGGCCTTCCCAGACAGCCCCAAACTGGCTTAGGCACCCATCTTCTACATATTTCTTCCAGGAAACATGTTTGGGCATTTTGAATGGGTACACGCCTAAGGACCTGTGCTTCCCCACTGGTGCACTCTGTCCCAAGGACCATAACTACCTGTTGAACCATCTTTCTTGCTAAACTGTAATGGCCATGCACTTGAAACCACATCTTTCATGTTTACCAGGGGACTGCCAGAGCATAGCACTTAGTAGATACTCAGTGAACAGGGGGCTGAAAACCAACCGAGGCTCAGAGCAGAGAAAGGACCAAGGCAAAGCAAGAGCTGAGGGGTTGCCACCCCTGGGGCAGTGGGGTAAGCCTGACCAAGTATGATCATGGGAGTTCCATGGAGAGGTTCATGGTAATTCCCACAAGCCAAGGGGCTTTTTAAGTGGTACTCAATGATGAAGACAAGGCAGAAATGGGATCCCCGTGGCCAGGTTCAGAAGAAAGAGGGTAAAGCCCCGAACTGACCCAGATAATGCTGGCAGAGGTAGTACCTGGGGCTTCAGTTCCCAAGGGAACCTGGTACAGCCCCTTTCCAAGAACATGACCTGAGTCCCATAAAGTGTACTCTTAACTTGGATAAAATCAAGGACATGCACTTGGGAGAGGGAGACGGGGAGGAGGAGAGAGGGGTAAGAGGGAGAAGAAAACCATTAGCCTAACATGGGGATCACAACTGCCCCCATATGTCTGGTCCATGAGCCTCCTCTGCCCCAGGACACATGTCACAAAGTCTGTTGAATCTGTCTTTCAAGTTCCATAGATTTCCATGACATAAGCAAGTCTCTGCTCTGACCAGGCTCCAGGTTGTAAGATACATGTTGCTCATATAACCTGGGCCCTACCACAAGCCTTCACAAAGCCACAAAGACTTTACATTGGGGGACACTTAAGGAGCTTTCTAAGGGAAATTTTGACACTGCATGGTTTCTGTCTCAGCTGCTGTCTTCAGAACCAAACTCCTTGAAAAATGCCCCTACACTGGGCTAAAGGACATTCATTAGTAACCTTCACAGCAGGCATAGGCCTGCTACCCCCATTTTATACATGGAGAATCTAAGGCAGAGAGGTTGGGCAACTTGCCTGACATTACGTGGAAGAAGTAGTGCTTAGACCCAGGACTGTGGAATTTCAAACTCAGTCCTTTATTCCTGGGACCTAATGGATGCTGTCTTCTTTCCAGGACACATGTTGGGGACAGTGCTAGAGGAGCAGCCTCCTCTCCTGCTGTCAATGGGCCTCTCTCTCCTGAATGCTCATGTTTACTTCCATCCTAAACGGTTGTCTCACTGAGGACACTTAAGATCTCATAAAGCTCAGTTTCTCCTGGATGGTCAGAGGACACAGCTGCACCCTCCAGGGAAGGACAGGGATGCAGTTTGCTCAGTGATGCCTCAGAGATGACACAGCCTCCTTCCTCCGTTCAGCTTCACATTCAAACAGCTCCATGAGTAACCACAACTACAGCAGAGGTGTGCAAAGTCACCTGGCATCACAGGTGATCCTGCAAACACCTCTGCCAGTTAGGCTTCCTAAACCCTGCCAGGATGAAGTTGTTACTCCACTGCTCAAAATCCGTCAGTGGCTCCCCACTGCTTGGACACTAAGGTCCAAACTCTCCAGTGTCCTCCGTGATTCATTATTGAACAGGTTCAGCCATTCCAGGTCCACTGTGCATGCCCACATCACCGATGTGTCGGTGGACATGCCCGCCTCCCGGCCCTGGCTCAGGAGCTCCACCCACCAAATGCTGTTCCCTATTTCTCTGTTAGTTCTAACCCCCGCCCAAACCTTAATCCTCCTTCAATGGCTCAGCAGTCCTTGGTTTTCTTCATCTGCAAATCAGAGAGGAAACCTCTACTGACCCTGAGCCAATTCCCCTGGGAGGTCCCCTTTTCAGAGGACTAAGGCTCCAGGTCAGTGTCAGACACACACCAATCTACATCCCATCCCACCCCCTGCCCTTACATGACCTTTGACAGCTATGTAGCCTCAGTCCCTTCATCTGATACATGCCCCAACCACAGCTGCTCCTCCCAAGGTAGTTGTGAAGTCTAATGAAGTCATGCACTTGGCAGGGCTGACACACCATAAACTAACTGCTACTGCCACCATCACCACCAATATCACCATTAAAACTCTGCAGGGGATGCTAAAGAGAAAGATCAACATGCATGGCTTCAATGGCTCTGGAGGGGTGGATCTTGCACATCACAAAGGTGTTGTGATTCTGTCACTAACCAAAACCCCCACTGATGGTGTATTCTGAGCACTTATTGCATTTCAGGCACTGCAATAGGCACTGTGACATGCAATTCTATTAAGGATGACACCCATTTTAGAGACGTAGAAACTGAGGCTCAGAGAACACTGTGACACAGCAGGTCACATGGCAGGTAAGACCCAAACCTGACCATTACTGATGGTGAACAATAGGACAAATGTCATTTCTCATATTGTGACCCTCTGCTGCCTCAAGCCCTCTATTTAAGAATCTAGGCCAGTCCATGTTGGAAACTCAGGCGGTCTGCCCCAATCCCACTGTCTGGTGCCCGCTTATTAGTGCTGGTTTACCTGGCAGTGGCTGGAACACGCCCTGGTTCTCCATCTCAACTGTCAAGTCGAAATGGGAGCAGTCGCTCAGGGTGACCACCTCATTGGCCCCGCTGGGTAGGAGGCCATTGATCCTTAGGGGCAGCTCCAGGGTCTGGCCCACTTGTGCCTCCACCTGGCATGGGGCGAACTCCATGCCACTGGGTTCAATCACATACACCTGGAGGACAGAGCATGGACTAGGGTCATCAGGCTCCATGGGAGAAGAAGGGACTGCTGCTTGAATTTACTAAAAGCTGCTGTGTGCTGAGTACTGGAGATGTGTTGGTGAGAAGACTGAGCTTGGGGGATGTGGTATGTGGTGGGCCCTGGGGTGATGTTCAGGAATGGAGCTGTCAGGGAAGGCTCCTCTGAGAGGGTGATGTAGGAACTCAGACCTGCGAGCCATAATCAGAGGAAGCCAGACAAAAGTCTGGGGGGAAAACATTCAGGGAAAAAGAGATGGTCCGTGCAAAGGTCCTGAGGCATGTACCAGCTCAGCACATTGAAAGAATGTAAAGAAGGTAGTGTATAGGGTGGGAGAGAATGTAAAGAAGGTAGTGTACAGGGTGCCTGATGGGGGTGTCATTTCCATCTCCTTGATATAGCCATGAGCTCCTCAAGGGCAGGGCTGGGGCCTGAACCCTCACTGCCCAGCCCACTGTCAACACCAAGAACAAGACCAAGGGCTAAAGGGTGTTTCTGAGTTGAGCCTGAGGGCTGGTTAAGAGGGGGCAGCTAGTGACCACCATCCCATGCCTCCCCCACCTGGGCTATCCTGGCCCCTGAGGTCTCACCTTCATCTCCCCAAAATGTAGTGGATTCTGAACATCATGTGCCTGGATCACACTGAGTCCTATGTCACTGCCTGTTGTCATCACACCCTTAACAGTGACTGTGGCAACCGTGTAACTTGATGAAGACCAACTGAAGTTCCCACTTCCACCTTGGGCCTGGGGGGAAAAATTATCATCTTATCAGACCACCTGCCTGGTCTCTCTCTCTCTGTATCTCATACACACCCACTCACATTCACTCATATACCCTCACTCTCTCTCACACATACCTACTCACACTCATTCTCTCTCTTACACACAAGGTCAACATATCCCCAACATGGAAAAACATGGCATCGAGCCAACACCTGACTGGAGGCTGCCTCCACCTCTCTCTCTCTCCACGCTGCCCTGTTTCCAGAACCCAAGAAGGGCCAGGAAGGTGACACACTTGATTGATCAGGCAGTGGGTACCAGTACAGAGACAGGACACCTGTCACCACTACTAGGGAAACAACAGAAACTGATTGGGCTGTGTTAGCCATAAGGGTTTGAGTCCCAAAGGAGTCAGTCCATGCCAACTAATGTCAGGTGGGCACATGAATACCAGAGACCAAGAACACTTGGTATATGACAGGGTTGGAGACATTTTCCCCTGAATTTCAAATTTTTCTCTAAGGATATTTACAATGCTTTGGGAAAACAATATTTTATAAAAACAAATATATGTGGAGGTTAAATCTGTGTTCCAGGTTTTATTTTGCTTTATTTTCTGTTTTCCAGGGTTTTTTTTTTCCTGATTATCAAAATACATTGCTGTGATTAAAACCTCAGAAAATACAGAAAGTATACTCTCTGATTTTAAATTCTCTCTAACCACTCAGAAGATACTATTAGAGGAAACAGAATAGATGAAGCCCCAATCCCATGGAAACACCCAAAGGAGTGTACCCAGATGTGGGGGGGGGGACGTTTCCCAATTACCTTTATCGTATACTGATAGGCGCCCGTCTTTGGCTGCCATGGAAATGTCAAGATGCTGGGAAAGAGGGTGATGGGAACGTGAATTTCCACCTCCTGCTGGTTCCACACAGGTACACGTAAAGAGTGGACCCCTCCATCCTACAAAGGGGTAAAGGCACCCGATGTCACCATAACAAACAGGTCATCAGCACAGTTTTCCCAGTCAAGCTGCCCTGCCCCTCCCTGGGGATCAGTCACAAAGATATATTTTGTGATTGTGGAAGAGGGGGAAGTAAGATGCCAGATGCTCTGCAGCCTTCTCATCTCAATGGAGATGACTTTCTGTGGCTCTGTACCACTCAAGTAAACACTGCTCGACTTCATCCTCACAGATCCCCTGACAGGATGGATGTGGTTATCCCCACTTTACAGATACGGAAATTGAGGCATGGAATGCTAAAGCAACTTGCCCAAAGCCCGCAGAGCTGAAGTGCAGACTTTGGTAGGAATCACTGTGTGGTCCACAGGCCATTTCCTTCTGCTGCCTCCTGCTCCCTCTTATAGGTCTGGGAAAGGTTTGGTGCTGGGTAGGCAGATGAGAACACCCATGTCAATGTTACAATCAGTAAAGAACTGCTCCCACCTAGAACTGTTGGCTTTTTAAGTACAGGGTTAAATGAAAAGATTTTGAAGGATGTACAGACAAAACAGCCAAAGGGATGCTTGTGGCTCCTGGTTGGTGCATAGCTGGATGCAGGGGGCCCAACAATGCTCCCCCACGAGTTCTGCACTAGAAAGTGCAAGTTCACTTTTATAAGGGCTGGCGAAGGGCAGAGGAAGAGGGGCTCTGGCCTGGTGTGGGGATAGGAAACAGCCCGCCAGACACCCTCTGTAAGCCCAAAGAAGAAACTCTCACGGTACCTGTGAGAGCAGCACATAGACAGAGCTTGGGGCCCTAACTCCCCAGGACCCATGTCCAGCCTGGGTTGACATTTCTGCCTGCAGAGGGCCCAAGGGGCAAAAGAAGGAGGCATCAACTTGCCTGGTCCACTATGGAGGTGAGGGCTGCCTTGATGGCTGTTTGGCCTCTCTTTATTGCCTTGACGTGATGGTACGACCCGTTCTGGGAAGAAGAGAGTACCTCAAAGAACTCAGCGGGAAGCACGGTTTCAATGCGGATGTTCTGGAAGGCGAGGCAGGATAAATTAGAGGTGCTTCTTGACAACCCAGGAAAGTCAGAATGCAGGACAGAAGCAATGTGACTAGAAAAAAGCAGTCAGGCCAGGCCAAGGGCCCCTCTGAGGCTTGCAGGCCTCCAAAAGCCAGGAGATGGCCTGGACAAAGCCCTGGAACTGAGTTCTGACTGCTTTGGTCTTTGACCCCTCCCAGGCTGAAGACCTGGTGCTCTTGTTGTAGTTACCCTTGTGGGGCTCACGAGAGCTCAAAGCCTACTGTTGGCTTTCCTAGGCCCTGAAGTCCCAAAAAGGAAACCATCAAATACAATAAAGGATATCAAAATCCCTTACGGCTAATTCCCCCTAACCTCCCTCTCCCCAAAATTTTGTGATTGACTGAGTCTTTAATAACGTGAGGAAAGCGATAACTTCTGCAAAGAAGCCAAAGAGGAACCCTCGCCTCCTTCTTAAACCTCGGACACCACTAGGAAGGTCCAGGATGATGATCCTAGGAATTTCTCTCAAAGGACTAAAACATTGCCTAGACTCCTCTCCATCTGCCTATTTGTCTGATGTTCCTTTCCAGAGCCAGAAAGCTAACAGAGGTTTGCCTATCACGCAGGACTTCTCAAGAGTTATAGGTATTTCTAATCATGCAGGGAGAAGGTTGGGAAGTGCTCCCTGACTCTCTGCAAAGCAGGAAAAAATGGATTCTCAGAGCTGTGAAGTCCCTGGTCTAATGAGAAGGGCACTGGAGGGCAGCTGGCAGATACCACCTCCCCATCACTGCCTCCTTGGACCCTGCTGCCTGCAGCCTCTTCTCTCCTCCTCAGCCCTGTAGGGAGTGGGGCTGTGGTATGCAGATACACAAATTTACAGTGTTTTGAAATGCCCCAGGCATCCCACAACGGTGCTTCCTATCCACCTAACAGCACCACTAGGAAGTACCTGAACTCAGCCTGCCTGCATGGGGACTCCTGTTCTTTTGGGGGCAGCTTATTCAGCAGCTGCTCCAGGAGACACAGCCCACTTTGCCACCCCATCAGGACCCAAAGAAGGCACTCACGTCTGATGGGTAGACCTTGTTACCGGACTTGTCAAGAACTTCAATGGTAATTTTGTACAGGCGGCCAATCTCGAGCACCCACCTGTCACCAGGGCAGACTGTGAACCCTATAAAACAGGCAAGTGGCAGTGCCTGACAACTCAGGCCACAGGGACATGCAGCTGAGCAACAGGATGGGACCAAGCATCACAACCTCACACTGCTTACCTGGAGGCCCCACAACCACCTGAAAGGGCCCAGACCACTTACCTGAAGAGACATACAACTGCTCAACTTAAGGATACCTATAACCACTCACCTGAAGGACCCATTACTGCTTACCTGGAGGGCCCCAAGACCACACACCTGGAAGGGCCCAGACTACTCAACTGAAGAGATCTATAACCAACCGCACAACGGCGCCCTATAATCGCTCACCTAGACAGCCCACAGTGTCTATGGTCTGAATCCTCGGGTCTAGGCTCTGAATTCAAAGTAAAGCTACACACTGAATTCATGATAGGTCTACACTGTAATCCACAATAGGTCTATGCTCTGAATCCACAATGACATTACACAATGAATTGAAGATGAGTCTGCTCTGAATCCAGTGAGGCTACACTCTGATTGCGCAATGAATCTACTCTCTGAATACACAGTAGGTCTGTGCTCTGAATGAACATTGAGTCTGAACTCTGAATCCGCAGTGAGTCTATACTCTAAACCACAGTGAGGCTATGCTCTGAATCCATAGTAGGTCTACTCTGATGCACAGTGAGGCAGTGTTCTAATCCACAGTTGATCTACATTGTGAATCCATAGCAAAGCTACACTCTGAATCCCCAGTGGGACTACACACTTAATCCACAGCGAGGGTACACTCTGAATCTATACTGTGTCTACAATCTAAATGCACAGTAGGCTTAATTAGGTCTGAGACCTGGCACTGAGTGCTCTCCCTTTGTGAGCTTGCATGGCTTTCAGGCCTCTTGTTCTGTTCCCACAGTGGACACCATAACAGCTGACCCCTGTGATGCTATGTGCTTTCTTATCTCCACACTACTGCTCAAGTTGTTCCCTCTGCCATGATGACCTCCCTACAAAAGAGCAGCTTCCTAGAAAAGGCCTGCCTCAGTTATCATTCCCCTGAAGCCTTTCTCTGCACTCACATTTATTAACCCCTTCACACTGTCCTGTCGCTACCTGTTGTGCTGGTCTCTACCTGCAAAACCAAGCACAAAGACCCCATCATCTTTCTTCTGGAACTTCAGTGCCCAGCACAGGCCAGATGGATAGAAGGTACTAAGAAAACATTCCTGAGTAAATGGAGCTCCTGAGACACCAGTGCCTGGTGTCACCACATTGTCCACTTGGGTCTACACCAAACAGCAATCTTAAATGGCAGCAAACAAAAGGACCTAGGGATTTGCTGCACATCAAACACTCTTGCCTGAACCATTTCAGTGTATTTAACGGTTGAGTAAGCTCAGACTAAAGAAGCTTTGCATTGATGACCCAAGGTGTGTCCTGGACATCGCTCAAGTGGTCATCTGTTATCCCAGGCCCTGAATGTGCCCCTTCAGGTCCTCCATGGCTTAGATTCTTCCTCTGTTCTCTCAAATGCCTCTCCTTCCTCCCCTCGAGACATCTACCAACTGTCATGTCACCTCAGGAGCCTCTCTGAGCTGGCCCCCAAACTCCAAACATCCATAGCCATGGTCAGGTCTGGACAGAGCCCGGGTATAAAAACCAGCAGGAGACAAAGCCCTTCTCCACTCTATCCTATCCCATTTCTCTCCCTGACGAGCCAGCCACCTGCCTGACCTCATCTATTCTCTGCTTGTTTCTGGGCTCCAACAGGGGAAGAACTAAGAAGCAGCCTTGGCAAGGGGAGAGCGGGTACTGATGGCCCTGGACTTCCCCACTGGTGAAGCTGGTTAAAGTGAAATAGGTTCTGGAAAGCTGTTACTTTTATTTTATTTTTCTAACTCCTATAATCACAAATGAGCAGCATCCAGGACCCAGGATGCCCACACTCACCCAGGTATCCGGGTTCAACCACGTAGATGGTGCTGTTGGGTAACCTGGAAGCACCCTGCATGCGGATGTCTGAATTCTTAATTAAGGAACGAAACATAAGATGGCAAATAAACCAGCCAGCAAGCTTCAGCATGGCTCAGAAAGCTTATCATTAAGACATCACACACATAGAATAGGAGAGTAAAACTCCCCTGCCTGATGCCAAGTGCAGCAGAGCCATTTCCAGAATCAGAGCCATACCATGCTTCCTACATTAGCAGAGGGGGAAGAGGGGGAGGGGCAGTCTGTGTAAGGGACACTGAAGATCACACAGGGCACATCAACAAGTCTCGGACAGGGACAACCCACATGTCAGTGTGGAAAACAGCTTCAGCCATCTGAGGCAGGCCCCTCAGATGAGACCAAAGGTGCCAGAAAAGGTTCCAGAGGCAAGAAGGGAGGCCTCATGCCTGCCACCACCTCCCATCCTAGGAGCCTCTCAAGTGAGACACCGACAGAGGTAAGCGATGCCACTCAGCTGTGCTGCTATTTTGGTTCCTTCTCATTTTCAGACCTTGAGGGAAAACAGGACTATTTTTAGCCTTGCCCTGCTTTCAGGGAGAAAAATGGCTTGACTTCCAAACAGCAGATCTTTTGTGCGCAGGACATGCATCTGGGCATGTATGCTGGCCTGAAAAAAGGATATTCCTGTGGCCAAGGACCAGGCTGCTCTGTCCCAGCTGCACTGCAGTTACGGTCGACGTGTCCTGTGCCAAGACAGCTACAGGCTGGCCTGGGTCTCCTGCAGGACCCTGGATGTTGTTCTGAAGCCGCAGTTCATACTGATCCGAAGGCATTGAGAGTTCTGGCCACCCAAAAACAAAAGAGAACAAGGAGGGAAGGAGGGAGAGAGAGAGAAGATAGCAAATGTTAGGAGCCAATGACAGTATGTCACTGCACCCTGAATCCCTGGACCCTGTTGCCAGTATGATTGCCGGATTTTCCTTTTTGCTTATTTTTTCAACACTTTAAATTTTAATATTATTTTCCATGCCTGTGGACAAAGCTGACACTCTCCATGAATTTTCAGAGGCAATCGGTTTTTTGTGACTGTCATACACTGATTTTTGAAATTAAGTACAGTCTCTGAATCAAATTGCCAAATGAATTGCAGAATCTCAATATTAAACTCTTTTCTGTTCATCGCAGATATGAACTCTGCTTCTGCACTAAGGGGTCCAGGATGGGGCTCATTGGATTTGTGAATCCTTTGGGAGTTTCCAAAAAAAGATACTGGTCCATGGTCTTTCACACAGTTTTGGAAGCTGAGTCTGTAATAATGCAAAGAATCATCTCTGCTGCTATCCTGACCGTCCATCAATGTTTCCCTGCTCTCTGTCACATTGTGGAAGAAAACTCATTCAACCAGTGCTAGGATGAACAGTTTCCCTGGGAAATAACAGGCTGACACAATCCACCACCTCTGTTGATCTCCCACACACTGTAGGTAGAGACTCTAAGCACTTTTGATATAAGAGGCTACTGCTGACCAGGAAATCAAGATGTGGCAGGACTGTTTATAGGCACATTATCCCATTTTGTCCCTCAGCAAACCTTGTAAGAGGCAAAAAATATCTTGGAGATGGGGTAATTGTGGAAAAGAAGATAAGTTTGCGAGTGGTAGCATAGCAGGTAAGCAGCAGAGCTGGGATGCAAACCGAAGAGAGCTTGATCACTTTGACTTGTCCTCTCCCCAGTCTGGAGAATTTCCTGTCAAGTAACCCACTCACTGAGCTCACAGGTGAGGCCACATTCCAGCCCTCCAGAAAGAAAGAAGAGGATGCAAAGAACCAATTATACCTTTCTTGCTCACAACTGGGTCCCAGCTCAGGGCCCAGAATGGGAGATGCCCTGGGCAAAGATCCCAGAGGAGTTTCAGCTAGAGCATCATTCAGAATTCTCAGGAATTCTGATGGGAATTCTGAAAGGGAGGCAACTTTCCCATTTCCTGTTCTGGGGTATCTTTTGTTGTGTTCCATTAGTTACTAAGAATCTCCCCTGGAGCAGAGGGTTCTCAAACTGAACCATCAGCATCTCATTGGAACCACCAATAATTGGCCCCACACCAGACCTACTGAAGCAAACTCAGAGGGCGGGCCCAGCACTCCGTTTAAACAGGCCCTCAAGGTGATTCTGATGCACGCTAGGACTAAGAATCTCTTAGAGTATACACAGCCCATTTCCTTGTCTCTAACTTGGGGAAGCCTAGCCAAGCTGGGCTGTGATTCTTGCAGATTATGTGTTCGGAATATGGCACCAGTGCCTCTAAGATACATGTCATAATAAAATAATAGAATAACATCATTGTTCTATAAAGCAGTATTACTTTATGCTACTTTATGAAGCACTAGCTTCCTCCATTGTCTAAAGTTCTCCAAATGAATATGGCCCTTTGGAAAATCAATATACTGACTCTTGAGGGATCTTGTACAACACAGATGTAGCTACAGATACAAAACCCTAAAAGGAAGAACTTGTGTGACTAACTCCCTAAATACCTCTTATAATGCAGAGCTCAATCTTGTCAAAGGTACTGAATATGGAAGGCTTTGCAGATGTTAAGTGTCACTGTCCACAAAAAGGGAAAGGCTGTTCTTGGGGTCCCAGACCAGCCATCTGCAGAAAGAAGATGGCCATCCCAAAGACCAGCCTTCAATAGATGAGGTGGCCCACATTCTTCTATGAGACATGATTTCCGATCTCCTCCAGACTCTGGCTGACCCTCTAGATGTGCTTATAATTGTCAGGGTCCCCCAAACTCCCACCCCACGCAGGGTCCAAGGACGACCATGGAGCTCCTGGGGTGGTGGGCCTGAGCCCAGGATGACAGGGAGCTCACTCCCCTGCCTCTGACTCCAGCCCCTGCTTATGCAGCCAAGTGTGCTTTAGTTCTGGGCAGCTATGGATCAAGGGTGTACTGGGTTCCACATCCCTTCCACATCTAAGTGTTTGACACTGGAACCCCAGCCCAACAGCCATTCATGCAGTTGGTTTTCTAAACCTCAGCACATTTCATGTCAGTAATTTCTACCACTGCAATCACTCAAGTTCTTTTCAGATACTAATTCCATCAGCCAGCATGTCCTTCTCACATTTTGTTTTGTCTAATAATTTCATTACTGTGCCCATTATGTCTACAAGCAAATCCAAATGCCACCAGGCCTGAGGACTGAGGAGACCTGTGGCCCCCCACTAGAAACATAGCCCTACAAGCAACACAGATACCTCTGTTATAAGCTCCGAGAGCCCCTCTCTTCCCACACTGGCATCCACCTCTTAGATTGACTGCCCTGCCCCCACTGGGCTGTGCACTCCAGGAGAGCTGGGACCTGGGCAGCTCTGCTGGCCACTGCATAAGCAGCCCCCATCAGAGTGCTGGCACAGAATAGGTGCTCAGTAAAATGGGCTCACAAGAAAGCAAACTGCCACATAAAGGAAGGGAGATATAAGGGAAACAAAAGTGTGGAAGGAAAGAAGAAAAATCATATTTTTAAGGAAAAAAATCTAAAAGTATAAATAATTAATTTACGGTTATAATTATCTGCCTGTTACCAAGTCCATGTAATTAACCTCTAACCTGGAATTTTTTGAGTCTTCTGCAGGACACTGTGCAAGACAGGGCTTTGCTAAAATTCATGTCCCCTGTAATAATATCATTCCCCCAACTTCTCTGACTAGTAAGCCTGTTAAAAATGACATTGATGTAAATTATACCTTAATTTAAAAAAAAAATCCATGTAAAAAAAACTGGACAGTGAGTTTGCCTTTGTATGTCTTATTCACGAGACCTTTGCTGGCTCTGTTCTCCCAAAGCATCCTTTTGGGATCCACTCCAGCCCCATGCCAGCCAGGCCCATCAGTCACGCAGCTGTGTTCTTTTTTTGGAGGAATTTCCATTTCATTATCCCACTAACAAAGGGAGGCAACTTCCCTATTTCCTGTTGGGGATCATTCATGTGCATCAATTCTTTGACTTCTATAGCAGGTCAGTGACCAAACCCACAACTTTTCTAGGTACCTTGGGATGTGTTGTTCCTCTGCGCCATGATATCAGAACTAATTTAGGGTCAGCTACTAAGACTCTTTATTAAATCCTTCCACATTTAACCATGCTGGCTCTGCCCTCCCTGGCTGGGCCACAGCTCAACCCTCATCCACCCCATGCAGAAGGATCATCCCCACCTTGCCTCTGGGAGAACTGTAAAGTCCTATGTGTTATCCTTGCAACTATTCTCATTTTCCTTTGAGGGGACAGGACCACTTGATTCTGCAGGAGTAACTAAGGCCAAGGAGCCCGACAGCTTTGTGATGTTTAGGGGTTCTATGTCTCAGTTTCTTCTTCTATAAAAATGGGGTGTTAATGAAATCCATCTCATAGAGTTGTTGGGTTATAACATGAGAAGCACAACACTTAGAAAATATTCCGTCATGATCAGATGTTGTCAGTTGTGACTGGGCTTCCCATACCACCTTCTTTCAGGTTGCAATGCCACTTCTTGTCAGCATTCAGGTATAAGTTTATATTTCCATTTCTGAGACGCCCCTGTTGGCACCCTCTGGCCTTTCAACGTGTGCCCTACCACACTCCTCCTCAGGACCTGCCTTCTCTTTTAGAGTCTCAGAAGGGGTAAATACCAGGCTCTAGCCAGGACCCAAAGCCTGGCTTCCTATACATCCTGCTCTAACACATCTGCACCACCTCCACATTGACACATTGCAGAAGAGCCAGACACTGCCTGCCCAGCACGTGGGGACATTCAGGAACCACCAGTCTGCTGCCCTCCAATCAGAGTACCCCATGTTGGAAAGAAACGGGTCCAGACATAGGAGGGGTCTGTTTTGGCCTTTCGTGGCCTTCCAAGGGGCAACGTGCTCTGCCACACAGTAATGACTGACCACACCACCATTCTCAGCTGAGGCGATGTCTTTCAGGACCACAACCCAAGTAGGTTGAAAGCCGAAACATCTACAACTTCTTAAACAATACTCTGCATCACAGGCTTGCAGCCCTCCAACCTGTGGGAGACAGATGGGGCCCCAAGCGTGTTGCTCTTACACCAGAGACTCTTGACAGCCTGTGCTCTGACCATGACACATGTGTCAACTTTAAACAAAATGATGATAATAATTTTTAGGCTTGATGCTGCTGCACTGAGAACACTCACCAAATAAAATGTATCGCATGTATAAAGCATTTTAGAATTTCTAGAACAAATCCACATCCATTAATTAAATTTGTCCTCATAGCACAGGCAGAAAGGCCTCAAGAGCTCTAAAAGAAAAACTGAACCCCAAAGGGAGGTGATGGCTCATCAAGGCTGTCCAGCAGTCAGTGGCAAACTAAGGATAAAGTCCAATCCAATGTGAAGCTCATAGCTTCTGACATTCTTTAAACAAGAGGCTACCTACCCCAAAGGACTGAACGCAGGGACTCAAAGAGATGTTGCACACCCATGTTCATAGCAGCATTATTCACAACAGCTAAACAGGTAGAAACAACCCAAGTGTCCATCAACAGATCAATGGGTAGACAAAGTGTGGTCTATGTATACAACGGAATGTTATTCAGCCTTAAAAAAGAAGAAAATTCTGACACATGCATAAACCTTGAGAACACCATACTATGTGAAATAAGCCAGTCACAAAAGGACTAATACTGTGATTCCATTTATTTGAGGTCCTTAGAGAAGTCAAATTCATAGAGAAAAAATCAGAATGCTGCCTGCTAAGGGCTGAGGGGAAGGGAAATGGGGAGTTAGTGTTTAACGGGTACAAAGTTTCAGTTTTACAAGATGAAAAGAGTTCTAGAGATGGATGGTGGCAATGACCACACGACAATGTGAATGTACTTAATGATGCTAAACTTCACACTTAAAAATAATTAAAGTGGTAAACGTTATATTTTACCTGAGTCAGTGACCCACCTGTAATCTTCCCTTGCCTGATCTTCTGTACCTTATAGCAAATGGAGGTTCCCACCAACAGGTAGACATCATAAACTGGGTTCAGAAGGATGTTCTCCAAAATCAGTAGCCTGACCTCTGCAGGACTGACGTTCTTGGCATAAAGAAGAGAGTAGAAAAAGTAAGGTGGTGTCAGGGAATAGAGATGGTGGGTTGGGCAAGAGGGAATCTTTAGAACTTTTCAGTATACTCATGTGGGGACAGGGAAGTTAGAGATGAAAAAAACAAGGCAATACTTTTAGACCCCCAAAAGCCCAGGCGAACACTGTGTGTAAGGCAGGCAGGTGTTCAGTGGTCACTTTTTGTGTGTTATAGCTCGATTTTTAATAATTAAACAGAATGAAAAGTGAGGAGCCAGCAGTGATATCTAGGGATACTATGGCCTCTAGGGGGGTCTCAGGGTCGCTCTCCACAAAAGCCCTAAAAGCCAGTGAGGTTTGGGAATCCTAAGGCAAACCTGAAAAGGAGAGGCATGTGTCCCTGAGGAGCACTCAGGCTCTGCTTCTCAGCCCTCATCAAGACCTCCTCATCAGGAAAAATCATGAGTGACTTTGAAGTGGGAGAAAAACCACCTGTACGAAATCTGGTGCACTCTCATGTTACCAGGTTCTGTAGGGGCCTGCATCTTCCCTTATCATTGAGTTGCTTGGTTACTCTGCAAGTTGGAGAAAACTGATGGCAAAGCAAATGAGTCTCATTCACAGAAATGCAAACCCATTTCTTCTGGTGGAGGTACAGCCAATTACTGCCCTATGGATACTGACTAGCTCTGCATCTATTTGTAAATTCTTTGGGTTCTCCTCTCCTTTAAAACATGGTTGTAAGATCTTACAGGTTTCCTCACTTAATAGTAAGTTAAACAATACCTTGACTCATTAAAGAACGAAAAAATATACAGAGCCTCTTCCTTGGCCCGGGCTCTATGGCAGGTGCCTTCCAGCACAGCAGGCAGGGAAGCCATTTACCAATACAGGCAGGATATGGGGGCCTTTCCAGCTCATCAGTGGGCCGATCCCCAGTCCAGTCCTGAGCACCATACAGGGGCCCAGAATCAAAAGAGGCAAACTATCTTCAAATACTAACTGCAGAGTGCTATGGGGCCAGCCCTGTGACATACCACTTCCCATGTTTACAAAACCCTCCAGGACTCCCAAATTACTGCTAACCCACTAAGGAGATTGAATCTGGAGAGATTTCTTTTGTCTATCACTTTAGAAATTAAAAGACAGATGAAGTACCACAACCTTCCTGCCTGTGCTCCAGAAACCAGGCAAAGGAAGAGCTCAGGTTTGCAGTTCAAAAAGAAGCACAGCCAGGGTAGACGTTTGCCCATAAGAACAGGGGAAGACCAGGACCTTCACTAAACCCGCTCCTTTCCTCTGTCCCAGCCCTCTCAAAACAAGGCATTGATGAAAAAGCAGGTGCTGGTTTGGCCAGGGTAATGTGGGCATTGGGGAGGGGCAGTGAGGAACACCAGCCATCCACACATGGGACCACCAGTCTCAGCAGTCATGTTGGGCACAGGCAGAAATAGCAAGGAGGGCACTTGGGAGCTCTCAGGATTTTTCACAGAGTCCCAAATGCTTGGATGTGTCCCTACAATGGGACAGGGGGGTATTTGTTGAAAATAAGCTAGTTAATGAAAATACCATTGCTCCTGAACCTCCTTCAAAACTGAGAATGGACCAAAGGCTCTATGACTCTAGATGGCACACTCTGGTGCCCCAACCACATCTCACTAAGCTGTGTCCCCCAAAACCAAACCAAACTAACAAAAATATGAAATCGCACCCTGAAGTTTCCCTTTTATGAACAGTGGAACTTTCACAGTGGAGCATTTCATTTCCACTACTAAATGTGCACTCAGGGGTGAGCAGGAGCAGTTAACCTGGTTCCACCCCAGGAGCCCAGCATCTCTTGTGCCCCAGGGCCCACCTTGTAGACAGCCTCCTGGATGCGTGCCTTGAGCTTGGAGCTCCCAGTCTTCATCCCGGACACCAGGATGGTGTCCCCTTGCTTGGCCAACTTCTCCATCTCTGAGATGTAGGAAGGAGGTATGTATGTAGACTCCAAGAATGGGAGGATTCTGGAAAAGCACATGTCATCAGACCTGACGTGTGAAACCAAATAACCTAACATATTCGCTGTCTATCAAGACCTTCTAGTAGGTGCCAGATGCTGAAATAAGTGTCGTTGTCTTAGTTGGTGCTGCTTAGAAATGTGTCCCTAAAACTTCCTATATCAGAATTGCCAGTGTCCTTATAAAAAATGCAAACTCTTGGCCTCTGGCCCAGGCCTTTGTCTGAATGAAGTCTAGCAATCTGCATTGTATCAAAATCTACATGTGCTTATGATAAACACTGAAATTTGAGGACTACCCACTTAGAAAAGCTTCACTCTCACAGATGTGGAAGATGAGGCCCATGGAAGCCTAAGAAGCAGGCCCAGGACCACAGACTAGACTAGGGCGGTGTCAACAATGCCCATCAGACTCTCAGGGCCACCTGCCACATTCCAGCCCAGCCCAGGACTAGCTCCTGCCTATGGGAAATGAGTTTCAATGACTCTCCTCAAGTGTCAGGACTAGGGGATCACATCATGTCTTAACCTCCCTGGGGTTACGCTGTGGGGAGAAGCCCCAAGTGGGAAAAGAAGTCGGGATGCCGGGGACCCTCCCTATAATAGGGCTGGTAAGCACAGCTGGCTCAAGAGACCTTTTTGACATAGGCTCTCACTTGCAGCCTGTGATTTACAAATAAATCTATCTTTCTGCCTGAACAAGAGCTGTCAAGTGGACACACTTTCATTCTCCCCAAGATCTGCCGGGTGCTATCCTGCACCATGATTTATTTCCTTGTCTTATCTTACTAGGTGTCATATGCTGAGTTTACTGAAAATCCAGGACATTGGTTCCAACGTGCCTTAGCACCTAGGATTTCAGTTAACATCTGGCTCAGTTATGGAGTGACTGGAAGCTCAGAGGCAGGGGACCACTATTCCCTGAGTATCTAGTGTGAGCCAGGCCCAGGAAGGGCTCTGAACACAAAGTGCTGACTTACAAGGCCACTATCAGATGGGGCACAACAATTACCTCCATGTGACAGAAGAAGAAGCTGATGCTCAGATGGCTACCTTCCTTAACTAAGGCCACAGGCAGGAAGAACAAGGCCAGGACTGGAATCCATGTCTCAATGATTGTAAAGCCCATGTTCCTGGCTTTGTGAGATACCAGCAATTGCGGCGCTTGTCCAGGAAATAGAGGCTGATGGTCCCAGACTCCAGAAGAGCTCTGACCCAAGAGGGTGCCTCATATGCAGTGTCAGGGTGTGAGGATGCCTACCATGGAGATGGCTGTGAGCCAAGTCTGGATGTTTCCAAGAGCTCTAAACTAGACTTTTAAAAGTATAAATAAATACCACACTAACTCCCCACAAAACACTAATTGTAAGAGGGTAAGAAAGAGACTTCATAAGGGACCCCCTAGCAGACATCCTACCCAAGTGATGACAGTGAACATCATCAATGATGGACTAACAAAATCACAAGATGTAATTAGAAAAATACGGAATCTCACTTCTGTGTTATTCCTGCCAAAGACGCAAAGCTCTGAGTCTAATCAGAAAGGAACATCGGATAAACCCAAAATATGAGGATTTCTACAAAATAACTAGACTATAATCTTCACAAGTGTCAAGGTCTCGAAAGTCAAAGACCACGAAATTGTCCCAGGCTGATGGAGACTAAGAAGCAGGACAACATGCAGGAACTCTGGGCTGGGTTTTGCCACAAAGGATATAACTGGGATAGTTGGCAAAACTTGAATGAAGTCTTGCATTCATGTGTTAACTTCCAAATTTTGACAACTATGTTGTGGAGATGCAGGAAAATGTTGTTAATGGTAGTAAACACATTAAAATAATCAGGGCTGATGGGGCAACAGGCTGGCAACTTGCTCTTAAATGGTTTAGGTTAGGGAAACCACATTTTGTACTGTACTTGGAACTTTTCTGTAGGCTGAAAATGGCTGCAAAATTCTTTAAAAATTAAGTTTTCCTCCCCCAAAAGGGACTATACTCTTTAAAAAATTATTTGATAAAGTATGAGTCAATGCAGAGTAATAAGGGACAAAGCTCAGACTTCAGTCTGTGCCAACACTGGCCAACAGAACTTTGGTAGTGACAGACATGCTCCACATGTGCTCTGTCCCATATGTGGTAACCACTAACCACATGGCAAATGAGCACTGCAAATGTAGCTAGTACATCTCAGGAACTGAACTCCTCATTCTGCCTAAATAGCTATGATAGAAAAGTGGCTACCATATTAGATAGTGAAGATTTATGCAGATCTGAGTTCAAATTGTAGCTCTGCCACTTACCAACCTGAAAAAAAGTGGCTTAAACTTCTCAGTTTCTGTCTGAAAAATGGCAAAAACAGTGGTACGTAAGCCCACATGGCTGTTGGGAAGACTGACTGAGTCAAGAGAGGTAAAAAGTACATCCGCATCCCCATTGCTGGGGAACACAGCCTCTTGCACCTGCGAAGGGCTGTCACTGCTGGGATGTCCTCTTAGCCAAAGTCTGTCTCCCCATTAACTGACCTCCAATGGAGGAGCTGCCCTCTAGGGCCACAATGAACTCTTCCCAGCTTCCTTGACAATTTCCTACAGAACACACCTGGTGGGCTGCAGAAGCAGTAAGGTTCCCACTAAACTGTGTGGGCCAAAACACTTTTCTCTAAATCAATCAAGGGGAACATCAGCCAGCATACTGGGAATCATCCTGGGTCCTCGCTGAGAATAAAAATGATGATGACAGTGATGATGAAAGCCTCTGGCCCACTCAAAGCCAAGCAACATCCTCCTTCCCCCTTCCCTCCACAGGCAAGGCGCCTCTCACCGCAGAGCATTGTGGGAGTCTGAGAACCTGCTGGCCTCCGTGTCCTTCACAATCGTCCAGTCAAAGACCAGCCCTGCCAAGGTGCTGAACGTGTTCCCTATAAGAGCAAATTGGAGGGGGGCGTGTCAAATATGCACTGGAGTTAACTCCCTGGAGCCAAGGGAAGGGAAAAGCACTCAGCACCACCCCCCAGCAAAGCAACTGTCATGCCTCTATTTCAGGAAGGGAAAACAGAAGCTTAAAGGATCAGGGTCACATGATGGTGAGGGGCTGAGCCAGGATGTGAACTAGGCCTGTCTCAAGTGAACCCTTGTGTCCTTCCTCCCATGCCACCTGCCTTTGTTCACAATACATTCAATGTAGTGCATAACACCATGACCCCTAGCACCTGTAAGCATTTTACAGGTTAGGCAGAGGCTCCCAAGACCTGATTCATTCATTCCTACCACCTCCCTACACAGGAAAAGAAATTGCAGATAAGGGGACAGAATCCCCAAACCATCTAGTTTCACATGACTATTCTTGTCTCTTCATCTTGACACTGAGAATCCTAGGGCCCTAGGGTGGAGGAGATGGAAAGCCACACACAGATGGCCTTGGCTCTGAGATCATGGCTTGCATCTATGCACCTTTTGACAGGATGTCAAACAAGCAGAATCCAGTGGGTGATTGGATAATAATTCTTGGAGGAACAGGACTCAGAGTAGGTTTTAAACACTCTGTAAAGACATTCTCAGTGTAAATCCAATGCCTGGTTCCACATGGACACCCTGAAACAGGGCAGAAGATGAAAACAGGTGGCTCAAAGGTTATCTGTCAGAGATTCTGGGTTTCTTGGTTTGTTTTTGTACCCAGGCAATGCTGCATTTACATTTTTGAATTAGTTCTCATTTCAAAATGAAAAATGTCCCATCACTTCACTATACAAACCCCTTTCTCAGCTCCTTCTGCTCTAAGAACAAGTGCAAATCCAACATCTAACACACACGACCCTTTACTTCCTGCATCCCACCCTCGTCTGAGCTTCAGTCTCAAGAATAAACTGGCCATCTCGGCCTGGCAAACCCCACGTCCTCAAAGTTCAGTCAACTATCATATCTCATAAGAAACTGTCCTGACCTCTGTTCTCCACACCCAACATTTAACATTCCCAGGGGCTGACTCTCCCCAATTTTGTGGTTACTTCACACTTTGCATCCAATTTGATAATAAACAGCATCTACTGAGATGCATGTGGGCATTTATTTACATGTAGACCTCCACTACAGCCTGAGATTCTGGGGACAGAGACCAGGCCCTTCCATTCCCTGTAGTATCCCTAGGGCCTGGCAGAATGCCCAGTAGATAAAAAGCACTCAGATGCTACCTGGCTTCTTGAGCACCCACTATGCGCCATGCAGCGCAAAACCTTTTACACATTTCTCACCAAGTCTTTCCAACCTCCAGGTGAGCATCACTATCTTGATTTCACAGACTAGAAAACAGAATTTAGGCAGCTCATCTGATGAATGAACACACAGAGGAAGGAAGGATGCTCCAGAACGGTGATTTTGCTCCCTCCAAGGGACATCTGGCAATGGCTAGAGATATTTTTGGTTGTCACAGCTTAGGGAGTTCTGCTGGCACCTAGTAGGTAGAAGCCAGGGATGCTGCTAAACATGCTATGATGCACTGGACAGCCTTCTATCACAAAGAATTATCTGACTCCAGATGGTCAATACTACCTAGGCTGAGAAATGCTGATACAGAAAAATTTTTTAAAAAGTGAGTAGAGGGGCAAGAGTGGTAAGGAAAGATCTCAAAGAAAAGGTGATACTTGGTTTGGACTTAAAATACTGGAATATCCTTCATCTTAAACAAATCTATTGCCCTAACTTAACTTTCTTCAAAAATTATCTTAACCTACATGCTAGACTTATGAGAGTATATAAATGTCTAATCACAATGTTGTACAAATGAAACTAATATAATGTTGTAAAAAATAAATTTAAAAAAATTAAATTTGAAAGGAAAAAGAATCTTAACCTACAAATGTTCCCTTTGCTCCTTTACAAAGAGGTCAGGCTACAGACAGTCTGCCTCCTGCCAGAACAGATCTTCTAAGAAAAGTCCTGGCCCAAAACAAGCTGATATCCAACTCTGGTGAAGTGAGAATACGAAAGACAGTGAGCAGGGCCAGCAGCATAGATGTGGCCCAGCTCACTCCCCCTGCTACCCCACACATACTGCAGTCTGAACCAGGAAGCCAACACCATCTCTCAAAGCCAAGCAAGGAGAATGCCTCCAGCTGTTTACAGTGTGGTAACCCAGGGGCCTCTCCCAGCTTCCCATCACTGCCCAGACCCCCAGATGTCACTTCCCAAAGACATGCTTTAGCAAGCACAATCCCCGTGCATAGGCATGGAGTCGGCCTCTGGGGTCTGCAAAAGCTCTCAACTCAAAGGCCCCACTGCAATTGAGGGCCTGGGATCCACTTCATAGGTGGTCTGAACCTCTCCAAGCCCCCCTACCCCACTGCACCAACTTTACCTTCCTGGCTGGAGCAGCCCTCTGTGGAAACAGTAGGGCCAGACACAAAGCAAGAGAGAAAGAAAGACTGCCAGGGAGACATCCTCACCTTCAGAGTCCAGAGCCTGGATCTTCAGCTCCAGGGGCGAGTCCTCCAGGTAAAGTTCACGGGTTGTGGAGACGATCTGAATGCCATGGATGAGGTCAACGATGGCATCGCAGCGCAGGACCTGGCCTGTGGCTGAGGGACAGGAATAGAGGGGTCAGACAGAGAGTGGTACTTGACCATCACCCCACTCCTGGGGCCTCGCAGGTCAGACGGCCTTACACTGTGGCAAAGACAAAAGCAACCAACAAAGCAATCACCACAACATGGAGCTGGAAGCACCAAATTAAGCCTCAGAAGCCAAGCAGTTGACCAGCACACATCCTCCTAAAAGTCAACATGAACTTTCAGAAAATAAGGGCTTGGAAGGCTTGTTAATTTCCTACCTTGTGCTTTTCCAGCGTGAGCACCAGCATTTAAAGCTGTGTGCAAAAACTCCTCTAAAGAAATCTAGTTTTGTTCAGGATAAAACCATTACGTTAAATGGCAAGGGCTACATACAGTACGATGAGTTAGCAACCAAAACGATAGTACTGTTCTGATGCCTGTCCCTACACTGAGATTAGGAATTCCACCTGGTGTTGTTTATCTATACTAGTGTTTTACATAAGACCATGTAACTATATAGAAGAAAATCTATGCGCATGAGCACAGATTTTTTTACTTGCTCCATAAATAAGACACATAAATGGCATTACCTGGAGAATTCTCTAGTGTAAAAATAACAGCATGTGACATAAAATCATTATACCCATTCTCCAGCCACTATATACACTACTTGTGCAATGGTAATGGTATTTTGTTAGAAAGCAATACAGTCCCATTTACCAAAAGCCTTAAAAACAGTTATATGCTGTATAAACCAGTAAAACCGGGAATCTATCCCTGACTAGAAATGACCTAAAAGAACCCCAAAATGTTCTCTGTGTAAAAATAGTTATTTTTCTATATAACACTGAACAAACATCTGAAAACAGTCTAAAATGTCCTGTTAAGAATATTATTTAGCCATTTAAAATAATTCTATGATGAGATGGAAATTTTTTCATTATGTTAGGTGGGAAAACAGCATGACAGAAAATTGTATCATTTTCTAAGCATTTTACAACCACAATATGGTAAATTAAATATGGGGAAATGAAAGGATTTCAGCAACTTTCTTCATTTGACTCAATACCCATTAAGAGTTATTTGGGTAACAAACAATTTAGAAATGAAAGCCAGCCTCTATGAGAAGAAAAACAATACAAAGTACTGGCAGGAAGGACCGGGGTGGGTGTTGCTGGCTTAGCGCCCTCCTCCTGTGTGGGTGTCCTTTGACCCAAAAAGAGAAAGAGAAAGCATTGCCACGGTCTCTAGCAGTATCTATGGCTGGGCGTCTCAATGGAGGTATTCCCATCATCCTCCCCAGTGACCGCACAGTGAAGCCCTTACTGATGTCCTCTGCAAAGATGATGCTTGTCAGGCGAGCGGGCTGGGACAGGCGGGCCTGAACCACTGCCTTTTGGGAGCACTGCTGCTGGTCCAGTCCCAACGGCTCTATGCTGGCCACCTCCGGCCGGGTTGATGACCTGCGATAAGAAGACAAGAATTTACTCCCTAGAGCCACCCCACAAGGCACAGTTGGGACCAGAAGCCAAAGCCTCAGCTCCCTATATACGGCTGTGTCCCAGAGTCAAACACAGAATAGAGGTGGGCAGTCTCCACCAGCTTCAAACCCAGAGGAGAAATGGGGCCCAGCCAAGGCCCCTCTAATAGGAGGACAGCACCTTGAGAATGTGGGACCTCTGCATGTACTCCCCAACTGAGATAACCAAAGAAGAGACCAAAGACTTGGAAGCCTCCTCAATGTTCATTAGACGGTCACTTTATAAGACTATTCTAGACCTGGAAATAATTCTACTACCAGGAGGAAAACTGCCTATGGTCTCCGGTGAAGAGACGCAGTATCTCCATTGACCTCTAGGCTGAGCCTGGCACACAGCAGGCTCCAAGATTAGCTCCCATCCTCAAATAGGTTCTACCAAACCTGGAGATGGCCAACTGTAATCATAACAATGACAAAGAGTCCCCATGTCACAGAGCTGACATCATGGTGACATGGTGAGAAAGGCAGATCATCGCACAATAAGCAAAATCTGGAGATGGCTTCCTGTGGATAGATGGGCCTCCAGAATAATAGTATGAATGGACAGCATGACTCTGGGAGGTACCCAAGGTCACTGTCATGGTTCCTCCCCTATGACAGAGGATAACAACAATTCTGAGTCAAATTGAGGTGGAAGCGAGAGCGAACAAGAAGAATGGATATAGCACAGAAAGCACAGGGTAAGCATGTGTCCCTACAGCTATTTGTAGATGGGGTGATCAAGGAAGCCTCTCTGATGAACACCATGCAAACGCTTGGGACCAGTCAGCAAAGGCCCTGAGGTGGGAAGCAGCTAGGTGTGCTCCAAGAATGAAAGGGCCAGTGCAGTACGGGTCCTAGAAGATGGAAGATGCTGAGCTCAAGGAAATGGGCATGTGCTGGGTCAGGGGCTGAGGTCAAGGAGATAGGAGGTTCTGAGGTCAAGGAGATGGGCAGGGGATGAAGTCAAGGAGAAGGCAGAGAATGAGGTCAAGGAGATGGCAGGGGCTGAAATCAAAGAGGAGGTTCTGAGGTCAAAAAGATGACAGGAAATGAGGTCAAGGAGATGAGAAGTACAAAAGTCAAAGAGACAGGAGGTAATGAGGCCAGAAAGGCATTGAAGCCACAGTAAGGAGCTTAGATTTACTTAGAGGGCAATAACAGATCACTAGGCATCTTAAGCAGGTGAACATTCTAAATTGATATACAGTGTGACAGAGAAACCAGGGAAAGGGCACCTAGTGTGCACAGCATCTGACACTCATTCCTAGAGTTACATCCAACAGAGCAGGGACTCTGAGTCTTTGCTTCCTTCCCTGTGCTTTGCTTAAACTCACTGAAACATCAATGTTCTAGGATATTCAGAAGAAAACTTATAAAAATTCTCCAGTGTTTAAAAAAACAATGGTATGAAACACACCCAAACGGACATCTCCAAGTCCTCTAGCTTGGAGTCAAGTGTCTCCCCCAGAGCCAGGTGGGCACAGCAGCAACTGAAAACACACTACAGATGCTTTGATCACACAAATGTCACAGGCACAGGCTGAGCTTCTGGCGGGGCGCCTGGAGATGGATCAACATCTCTACTGAAAGTACTCTGAAAATAAATCTCACCTACAGTTAAGGAAAGAAATCCAAGCTCCTGAAGAAATGCATTTGTGGTCCTCTTGAAAGACTTCAGAGACAAACAGCAGACAACAAAGTGGACAGGAACACACACCCAGATAAGAGTGGGGAGAGGTCAGGGGCTGACATCTCCTTGACCTCGGCCCCTGAGCTCACACATGCTAGAAACAGACCCCCTTTAATCGGTCACAGCTGTGGAACTCTAAGAGCATTTTCCAAGGGCATTTTACCTCCCACACACATATGCACATACATGCATGTACATACATACAAAACTAACTGTAGAAACAAGAAAACAAATTAGAAAACTCATACAGATCAGAGGAAATGAAGGAGACAGGACAAATAAATGCAATGTGGGATCCTGAATAGGATCCAGGGACAGAAAAAGAACCTTAGTGGAAAAACTGGGGAGATCCAAGGAGTCCAAGGTTAAATGAATTATCATATACCAATGTTAATTTCTTTGTTTTGACAAATGTTCCTAGTTATGAAAGATGTTAACATTAGAGGGAACTAGAAAAAGGATATACAGGAACTCTCTTTATTAGCTTTGTAACTTTCCTGTGAATCTAAAATTATTCTAAATTTTAAAATTAAAAGAAAAAGATGGGGGCGAGAGATGAATAGGCAGAGCATGAGGATTTTTAGGGCAGTGAAATTATTGTGTATGAGATTATAATAATACAGGTCATTATATATTTGTCTAAACCTACGAAATGAACAACAAGTATGAACTGTAATATAAACTATGGACTCTGGGCAATAAAGTGTCAGAGCAGATTCATCCGTTTTAACATATGTGCCACTCTAATGTGGGATACTGGTAATGTTGTAGAAAATCTCAAAACCAGTCCAGTGAAGAACCAAGCAGTAACTCAGAGGGGAAAATTCTGGTTTATTATGTGCAGTCCCAGAGCGTACTCAGTTGCAACATTCCTTATATACAAGAACTTTACACAAGCTAATTGGTCAGTTTGAACCTGAATCATTACAAACGTGGGAGTTGCTATGCAGATTGCAAGTAGTAACATTGGAGAAGGGCGGGAGTTGCTAAGGATTACCGACAGTTACAAATTGTTACAGGAAGCAGAGCTGCTAGGGTACAAACAGTTACATTAGGTGCTTAGACAAGTAGGACAAGGTGCAAGTGAACTCTGCCAAGTGAGCGCTTGCATGCAGCAGGCATATTTACAGAAGCAGAACAGAAAGGCTGAATAGTTTTTAATGAAAATCCTGAACTTTCTTCTTCAGTAATGGGAGATGGTGGAGGAAGAGGTGCTATATAGGAAATCTGTCATTTGGCTCAATTTTGTTATGAACCTAAAACTGCCCTAAAAAATAATCTATTAGGAAAAAAAAAAAGACAATTTATGATTTTCTGTTTCTAACTTTGAGAAACAGTATGGTTTGTCTTGTTCAATGGCTCCTGGGAGCTAGAGATATGGACTTCCAACGCTGGGACATAAATTCTACCTCCCTCTCTTAAACTCAGTCTCCTCGAGAATAAACTAGGGACACCTCTTTTCTTGCTCCCGCACAGCAGTGAGCTAATCTCAGGTAGAATCCAAATTAATAAATTAATACAGATAAGAACGGAGCTACCTAGTTCAAGTTGGAGAAGCCTGCAGTCTCTTCTCTCTTGTCCCCCACCCTTTTCACAAGCTGCCCTGGCCATGTTCAGAGCCAGACTGGAAATACCCAACCTTTCATTTACGTCTACTGTGTTTTCAGAGCTTTGTTAAGTACAGATGCAGCCCCTAAAACAGCCCTGTCCAATAAAATACAGTGAACCACATTTAAAATTTTCTAATTGCCTTATGAAAAAAGTTAACAGGTGAAGTTAATTTAATAGACTTTTTAGAGCAGTTTTAGGTTTACAGCAACATTGAGTGGAAAGTACAGAGAGTTCCCACATATCCCCTACCCCCGAATGTGTGCACAGCCTCCCCCATCCCAATCAATCTCCGCAGCAGAGTGGTGGATGGTGCATTTGATACAGTTGATGAACCTACATGTCATAATCACCCAGAGTCCACAGTTTACATGAGGGTTCACACTCTTGGTGTATATACTATGGGTTTGGACAAATGTATAATAACATGCATCTACCATTGTGGTATCATACAAAGTAGTTTTACTGCCCTAAAAATCCTCAGCTCTACCAATTCATCCCTATTTTTTTAAGGTCTCTATTAAAAAGTCACATTAAAGAAAACTAACAGGTAAAATGAATTTTAATAATACCTATTAATTAACCCAACATATCCCAAATATCATCATGCAGACATGTGGCCCCACTGTACTTCAAGAACTCATAAGTTATGAGTGATGAATGACTATGGGACTGGATAGCCAGCACTGAAGGTGGGCCTTAATATGGAGAGCCAGTCAGGTACGGAGTACCCTTCATTCACCACTCCCTATGGGCATCTTCTGATCCCTGTCAAGGGCTGGCTTGGGGGTTGGCAGGTGCTGAGCCCTCTTATCACCTATTAAGAAAGCCCCTCTTCATTTCACTTAGGGCTGATACAACAGCATTTTGAGTGTAGCCTGGAGATGCAATGAAGTGGCACGCCTGACCTCTAGCAGCCTGGGAAGAAGACACCCTCCTCACCCTAAGGACTGCCTACAAAACGGGCCTGGAATGGACTTGAATCCCTGCGCTCACTCACCTGGGCTGAGCTCAGTGAAATGGACACCAGACTCCTCCTCACAGGGCTGCTGAGAGGGCTGGAAACACTTCACATTAAATGCTAAAGTGCTGAGAAACATCAGCAGCAGATGTGGCAAACAACCAGGATGTGAACAGATAGGATTTGAACAGCCACATCCCTTACTCTCATCTCCACCTAAGAATTTTCTCTGGCTCTAAAATGTTGCATCTGAAGCTGGAGGGCTCATTCCAACCATCTACAGGAGGGTTTAAGACAGTTTAGGGTAGTGTTTCTGTTACCAGCAGCAGATTCTTTTTCGTTATATGATACCTTCTGGGACATTCTGAAGCCATTTGCTTTGGCTGTACTTCTAAGAGATACAAAAAAAAAAAACACAGAATCCAACAATGATGTGTCCTTGGCCCTCGGTGTCCCCCACACGGTGAGGGTTCCAATGGAATAGTGGCTGAAAAAGCACATTCAAAAGTGTTTGTTGGAAATTACAAAGGGAAAGGTATACAGGGACTTCAAACTCAAAATGAAAAGCCAGTGGGGTGGGGAACTGGGAGGGGGCAGAAAGGAGACTTCAGCTTTACCTGTAATGTTTTATTTCTTAGCAAAAGACACAAAAGACTGGAAACAAATACATAAATTGTTAAGA